GTATATTATATAAAGAGAAATTAGGCAGATATTGTGTGTGTGTGTGTGTGTGTGTGTGTGTGTGTGTGTATATATATATATATATATATATATATATACCGTATTTTCCGCACTAAAAGACGCACTGGATTATGAGGCGCGCTTTCACTGAATGGCTATTTTGTAATTTTTTTTCATACATTGGACGCTTCACGTTATAAGGCGCAATCTACCATGCCTCCACGAGATAGTGCTATGCTCCTTCCATTCAACTCGAGAGGCGTCCGTTCAACTTGAGAGGCGTTCATGACCGCCTCTGAAAAATGTAAATTAACTATTACTGTACTTAAATGAAACCACGGAAATTTTAAATAATGCATCAAAACAGAAAATAAAGCGAGGAAATCACAAAATAAATTCTATATCCCCCCTACAGAATTTATTTTGTGATTTCCTCGCTTGATTTTCTTCGTGGTTTCATTGACGTAATAATTAATTTACGTTTTTCCGAGGTGGCATGAACGCCTCTCGAGTGGAACAGAAGAAGGCACGGAGGCGGACAAAGACGTACAGATACAAATACAGATGTACCTGTATTTGTTGAGACTGTGAAAACCATGAATAAAGTCTGCGTGTGCGCCCTATAGTGCGGAAAATACGGTAGTATACAAACAATATATATAGAGAGAGAGAGAGAGAGAAAGAGAGAGAGAGAGAGAGAGAGAGAGAGAGAAAGAGAGAGAGAGAGAGAGAGAGAGAGATAGATACAGTATACATATATATAGATAGATAGATCTATCTATCTATCTATATATAGATAGATATATAGATGGATAGATAGATATATAGATAGATATTCCCCTTATGAATACAAAATGAATGACAACTACAGTCAAGGCACACTCATAAAAATAATTTTACAATACAAAATTGATTCAATCTCCTAATTTCTAATGTATAATCTATCATTTCTAGTGATATGTAGCAGTGTCAAATATATATTTTTAGTTGTTGGAATTTTCCACATTTCTTGAAAATACAAAATAAGATATGTCTCTTTGATATATGTAGTGGGAACAATGACCATTGAAAGCATTAGTCAATCATTTTATTTGTAATAAAACATTATGTGTGCCACCTATTCCTGTAAACACAGTCTTCTGATTAATATTGTGTCCATGGAAAAAGAATGAAGTGGAAAACTCCACATGTTGTCATCCATCTCAGGGTCTGCCATTTTGTTCGTTACTGCCATCTGCTATCGACTGAAATTGACGTCAAAGTGACAACGGGCTCAGCTTGCGAATGTCATGGCTCACCTTTTTTCTTGGTTTGGTCATGTGACATTAAAAATGCAAGTTCGTGGGCAGTTTCTCATCAATTTCAGTCGACAGCAGGTGTCAGTAGAGGATAAGATGACAGCATACTGAGATGGGTAAAAACGGGTATTTTCTGCTTAATTCTTATCCCACAAAGATATTACAGTGGTACCTCTACTTATGGATGTCTCTTCATCCAAAATTTTCAAGTTACGAAATGCCTCAAGGAAAATATTGCCTCTTGTTCCGAAATAAATTTCAAGATACGAAGGTAAAAATACAGTGTGGTCTGCTACTCACAGCTCCGAGTTTCCTCAACGCAACATACTTATAGCTGCTCTGCCATTGGCTGTTACCGAGCATCATCCTGGCATCCCTCTGGCATACCTATACCGTATGAGTCAATGTGTGTAGATGATAGATAAATAGATTGAAATGTGTCCATGCAGCGTCCTTGTCATTCGCCCCTCGGGCCATGAGGCGTTCCGATAGTTTTACATGAATGTGAATCACCCAGGAAAAGTGTTCAGCAGTCCGGCGATCGCTCACTATGCTGATGTTTGCCTTGAACATTTTCGAAGGATTGTTAAAAGCAAACATCTTTAGATCAGTTCTTTCCAAAACGGCAGGTAAAAACCACTTCTGAGAGAGAACATGAACTAAAGAGGGCAAAAAAAAAATGATGAGGACGCAGTTAAAAGTAAAATGACCATCATTTTTGTTCTTTATTCTTTCTTTTTTACAGTATTCAAAACTGTCATTTATTGTGCAATGATCTAATTGTAACATGTATTTGTTACATATTTTCATGCATTTTTATGCTTCAGAAAATATATATGTCTGAATTTTGGGGGGCCTTGGAATGGCATTTACATGCAAAACGCATCTGTACTGACAAAATTTTCTTGTGAAGAAATTTCTTCCAGAACCAATAAATTTCGTAAGTGGAGGTACCACCGTATTAATTAGAATGCTGTGTTTACAGTAGTGGTGGTACACACAAGGAGGACCATCATGTTTGCCTTGTTGAAGGAAATCCCATGTGACTGAAACTTATATCAGCAGTTGCATTGCTGGGTGTAATTAGACACAATGAAGTGATTTGTGAATGTGTAAAGGGAAGACGCAACCTACAACGACTTGCTTCTGGTTTTTGGTCTAGGCAAGCCGTGGAGCAGACGGGGATTTGTCAGCTCCTCCTGTGTGTCAGCATTAACCACTACAGCATCAGTGTGGCCAACCGCTGCACTGGAATGGCAATACATTCGACCCTCACCATTCACGAGGGATAGGGACCAGGCCGGTCTGTGAATAACAAAACTCTGCAGTAATTGACGATCATTATAAATGCAAAAAAAAGAAAAAAATCATAATATTGTTTATACATTTTGGAAAAGCGGGTGGAACCCGGACTACCAGGAGGACATATTTTTTTAATCCGTGAAAATTCTTGCATAAACGAGGACAAACCACCAATAAATGTTTTCCACAAAAAAAAAAGGGGTTACCCCTCCAGCAACCAAAACACATTTCAAAATATTTTTTAAATGTTGAAAAAGTAATCAGTGATAACGGGTGCCAAACCGTGAAAATGCAAGGGTCCACTCTCCCATGAAAACCACCTCAGAAAAAAGATGACTGTTGTACTATATACTGTTCCTTGACTCTTGTGAATCCGACTTCACGGCAATATCTTTGTAAAGAGATTTTTTTTTTTTTTTTTTTTTTAATGTGTGCTGCATTTTTGTCAAACTTTTTCAGTAAGTAATAGTTTTTAATACTTTTGGCTTATATGTGTTTTCCAGAGGTGGCTGCATCATATACATGTAGATTGCCTGTACATCCTAAACCAGAGGTCCGGCCACCATTATTATTCTTATTGTTATTTCAAGCTGAACCAAAACTGTCCTCAGTGTGTGC